GGAGTTTGTTATAGACAACCTAACCAGGATGGGGAAATAGATAAAATATTCCATAGGCAGCTGGGTCTCTTTAGCTTGGAGCAGAGAAGACTGAGGGGTGACCTCCTTAGTGTTTATAAATTTGTAAAGAGTGAGTGTCAGGAGGAAGGAGCCATGCTCTTCTCTGTGATGTCCAATGCCAGGACAAGGGGCAATGGTCCCAAGCTGGAGCACAGGAGGTTCAACCTGAACATGAGGAAAAACCTTTTCACTGTGAGGGTTACAGAGCATGGCCCAGGCTGCCCAGAGAGGTTGTGGAGTCTCCTTCTCTGCAGACATTCAAAACCCGCCTGGCCGTGTTCCTGTGTGACCTGGTCTGATGATCCTGCTCTGGCAGGGGTTGGACTGGGGGAGCTTTCCAGGTCCCTTCCAACTCCTAATATTCTGTGATTCTGTGATCTCCAGAGGGTCAGCATCCCTGGATGCTGTGAGCCACCAGCTGTGGATGGATTATCTCCCTCGTTCCCTCATGCCCTGCTGAGAGGGCTGGGAAAGTGACCAGTGTGTAGAGAAGGATCCAGTTATGCTACAGGCTTTAAAGTTATTGTTAACTACCCCATGGGCAAGTTTAAAGCAAACCAAAGTGCACAAAAATCCAAAGTTGTTCTCAAGGAGAAAAAATAAAGGTATGGACTTACCAACTTCCTTCACAGGCAATGGAGTTCACTGAGTAGGTGACTATTGGGCCATCAAAATGAAAGGGCAAATAGGGAAGATGAGAAACAACCTTGGAAATAAGTTGGAGGAAGAGAGTGTACAGAGCAAAGACTCCTTCCGTATTTGTTTTCAAGATAAGGTATGTGGTGGGAGATAACACACCAGTAGGTACGGTGTCCACTATATGAGAGGAGTTGCTTGGGGCTTGGCACTTTTCTTTCCTCAAGGCAGATTTCAGCAGTCAGCACTAAGTTCACATGGAGACATCCTCCTTGTGGCACGCAGGGCTGGTGCTAGCACTGCAGAGTGAAGTGTTACCACGGTGGGCCAGCTGCAGTCTTGATGGTAAAACCTCCAGACTGGCATTAATTCTTCAGTAATACAGGGAGAGATGATGTGAGAATGCTCCTCTGCCAGCAGCATACAGCAGCATCATCCTTTCAGTAGCTCTGCTGTATGCTGAACTACGCTGTATCAATCAGCAAGCTCTGGTTTCCAAAAATGACCTTGAGAAGTTTTGAGTGAGGGCTTCAATCAGCAGCCTTTCTTTTCAATAAGCTTGGTCTTCCTGATAAACAAATACCAAGGTCAAACTTTGGTAACAAAGAATGCTTTCTCTTTGCTGTACAGGAGATATTTGGCTACAAAACCCAAGGCTGGCAGAGAATCTTGTGCACTGCTGGGTACATCTTGTCCTGTGGGGCTCTGCTGCTGCTGTTTTACTGGAAGCCGGAGTGGGATGTGTGGGCAAACTGCATCTGCTGCAGCTTGGAAGAGGCAGATACTGTTCTGCTCAGAACAACAGTAAGTGAGCCCCCCTAGCACATTGTTATTAGTACCAAGTGTTTTCCCAAGCAGGGCAGCTTGTCTGTCTGTCTGCATGCTGTAGCAGGTTTGTAACACTTCCTATGTTTGGAAGTGGAGAGGCAGGACTGGTTCAAGCTTCAGAGAACTAGCCATTTTTATTTGCAGAGTTTGAAATACCATGTAGAAGATGTTTACGTTAACAAACACCAAGCAAACCATCCATTCCAGCTGCCCTCTGCCAATAACATTTTATGTGAAACAGCTCTGCCTTTTCAGTTCTTTTATGTTCGTAAGCCAACTGGCTTCAGTGAAGGGATCCTCTCAAGAAGTCGCGGCTGATGGTAGCCTTTCTGCTTTGAAGTTATTGGAGAATGTTGAGGAGAGGGGTTTTAGAGAGCTAGATTTTAGGCATGAGTTGTGTTCTAGGTCTCCATGATTGTAAATTAAAACTCAACCCCATTCTATCAGAGCAGATGCTCAAGACCCTTAATGCTCAACATTGCAATGATATTCCTAAAATAAATGCACTCAAACCACTACATGGGTAATCCATTGCTCATTGTGACTAGTTACATGTCACTAAACTGATTAAAGGACAATTCAGTCTGACACATATCCATAGCAGTAAAGCTGAGTTGCTTTTGGCTATGGATGTATAACAAGTAACACAGCATCAGAGGAGTTTTGTAGAGCAAAGTACCTAGTGCTGAGGACTCGATATGCACACCAGAAGTATTTCAGAAGGCTTTACCTTCCAACTAGCTCTAGTCTGATCTTGTAGGCTGAATATTCAGTCAGAGCTGTTGAAGCGTATCTTCTGGTTTAGTTTCATCTTCTCTGGAATTACTCTGCAGCGTGAATCAAAGCAAATGTAGATGATTGCAAGATTGCCTTCAAAGTGCTTTACTGATTAGCAGTACATTTGCTATGACTGCAATGATGCCATAGGAGTTATCTGGGAATCTCGTATGTCCTTCCTAGAGTCAGGTAACATTACCACAGGCAACATTTTGGGCTTGTCACTGAACTATGCTCTGTTTCTCTAGGATGAGTTTCACAGATACACCCGGAAGAAGGTGACCTGGATTGATTTGTCCACATTGGCACTACCTGTTGGTACTAATTCAGATTGTCCTCTTGTAGCTGATAAAGACTCTGTCATAAACAGAGCCGTAATGAAGCCAGAGTTAAAGGTAAGTGATCTATAAGATGCAGAAGAAAGATGGCAGCGGGGAGGTGGGTGGCAATAGGAGCCAAGGCACCTGGAGGCCCCCAAGGGTGCTCTGTCAGTGTCTTCCTGTAAATCCTGTTTACATAAGCTCAAGTTTTCTGCTAAAACATGGGGTAGCATTTCTGTAAGAGTGAGATGGTTTTTCCCTTGAATGGCAGAAGGAATTTTTGCTATTTGGTCTTGCAGGTGAGATGTATCCAGGTGCAGAAAATCCGTTATATTTGGGACTTTTCTGTAAAAGAATTCAAGAAAGTTGGGTGAGTGTCAGCAGCCTGTTATGAAACCCTTTGTGGGTTTTACAACAGGACTCCTTCGTCTGAACTTTCTCCTGTTATCCTAGATCATTAGAAGACAGCAACACATGTCACAGCATACACCACAAGTTTGGAGCTGGCCTCACGAGGGAAGAACAGAAGATCAGGTACAGTCTACAGATGCATGAGCTAATGGTGACAGTGTGACCTATTAATTCTTCCTTTCAATTTCATGTGAGCTTCTTGCTACTCACCTTTGTAAGGCAGTGCAAACTGCGTGGGTGGCATTTGGAAAGGTGCAAAATCATTATCCCTTGCTCTCTGTTGAGCTCATTATCTTCTCAGTGATATCAGGCTGAGTCTAGGGAAAATGCCACTGGTTCCACCTGGGATTCAGGGCACAGCAAGCCATGACTGGCTTCTTTTGCCATTTTCCCCTTAAAAGCCCTCTGGAAAGTTAATCACAGGGTTTACCAGCAAACTGATAATCTTTTCAGCAAGGAAACAGTGAAATTCTGCCTCTGTGTAAAGTCTTCTTGGATACAATAGCTTCCTGACAGGTTTATTTCTCCTACTCAGCCATAGGTTGCCCCCAGGACTTACTTTTTTAGATAAGTGTTAATGTTATTTGGGTGCACAGTTTTCCACATGAAGTCTTACCCTACATGACTAAGCTATAACATGGGGAACTCTTCTCTACCTTCCTACAGGCAGCTGGTATGTGGGCCTAATGCCATCGAAGTTGAAATTCGTCCTATTTGGAAGTTACTTTTTAAAGAGGTCAGTAAGTCAGACTAGCACTTGGTGGGACTTTTTCTGGGCACACTGGGATGGGATGATTGATGTTTCACAGGATGATTAATATTTCATAGGTATGAGCCATGGAGGAAAGTTGATGAGCCTCCTTTTATGGCTGTTAGTACACATTCCTGGCAGAAGGTTACAGGGAAGAAGATGAAGTTAAGAGATGCTTGGTGCTGCATACTTCTAACACCTAAATCTTTCCCCTGTGATGACTGTGTCCCTTCTTGGAGAGCAGCAGTGTGGGGACTGATGTCCTCTGCTGTAGGCCCTTATTCCTGACTGAACATCTCCCATGAGCTGGGACATCTTGCCTTGTGGCTGAGCAGTGACATGCACTTGGAGTGTTTGTGCTTTCTGCAACTGCTACGACTGACTGCAGCCACATCAGTAACCCTGTCCTTTCATGTAGGCTCTTGACAATGATCTGAAGTGAAAATTTTGCTCGTACAACTAAGACATACTTGTTCCTCTTCAACAGCCTTGTTTTAGTAGTTCAAAGGTAGAAGTGGCCTCAACAGCAGTGTAAATCTGGGAGGGAAACACCTACAAAATTCCTATAGAATTCCTATATGATTGCCTTGCTCACCTAATAAGTTCCCTGTCTCCTGAGACATAGACTCAAGACAATTTTTTTCCTGCATAAGTAAGGTCACACTGCAAGACTGTTCTTCCTCTACAGAGGACAGAACAAACACATTTTGTGGATAAGAGGACAGACACGTATGGGTGGTTTCTTGCTGAGTTTGCACATAGAAATGCTAGAAGTATCTTTTCGCCGAACTGTAAGCAGAGGCTTTGCATACAGGATACTGTCGTCTCATCTGTGTTCACTTCAGTGGATTATGGATGCTACATGAATGTCTTTAAAATGGAAAAGAGCTATGAATGCTGGGACTCCAAGCTAGCATGAACTTTAAGTGGATTTTGTTTGAAACCCTACAAAATAAAGGAAAAGCTCCAGGGCTCCTGGAATTGGTTGGATTTGATGTCGCCAACCTTTCAGTGTCCCCTGGAGATGGTTTTGAAGAGAACTCCAGTGTAGCACTCTAGAAAGTTCATTTAATTTGAACTTTGCACTTCCATCCAAGGCTGAAGCTTCATGTTTGAAATATTAATGGTGGTGCCTGGAGGCAGACTGGTCCTCATAAACTTGTAGTATTTCAGTCCAGGTTCAGCTTCAGTGGCCAAAGACTGCCATCCTGATTTAGTGTCTGTCTCTTTGTCCTACTGAATGTCAAAGAAAGTATTAAATTTTCATTGAGGGACCAAATTCGTCAGATGAATAATTCATTTCAGTTCCAATCTTTATGCGGAAAGCTCTTTCAGTGGCTATTTTAGTTATACCAGCTCTACAGCAGTCTCACTTCTTCAGACAAGCCAAGTGGTGGGCAAATCTCTGAAAAACTTCGTTGAATTCTTCTGGTGTTAGCTAGATACCACATTAACCAGGATTATATTCTCAGACTTCAGTGGAGCCTGTTGCCTGTTTCAGCATAACACATTAGAGTGAGTAATAACTGGTACTGTAAGACTGATGCAATGTAGAGTAGCCAACAGGATGGAAGTATAAGAAAATCAAACTTGCATTTTAGCTGCGGTGTAAGACCGGTTACTGATAACCTCGCAGACCCTTAATCCTTCTTTGCCATTTTTATTTTCCCAAATAAATATCATATTCATAATGACTTTCTTAAATCACAAAGTATTAAAACAATTTACCGTAATTTGGTCTTTTTTTCACATTTGGGTCGTATCTCCTGTTCAGCAGTTACTTAGTCTCAGAAATGTTAAGGTCACCTTTGTTAGATGCCTACAGTGGGAAAACAACTGGCTTAGTCCCTTAAGTCTGACTTAAAGTTGCCAGCATAGACGCTGCTGCATAGTGACTGGTTAGCAACAGCTTTTAATACAAACACATGAACTACGTGTAAGCTGGTAAGTTCAGAGCTGGAGGCTATTAATGCTCTGAAACTGCCATGAAAGAATGCTGCCTTGGGATGGCAAAACAGCCCTTCAAATTGGTGTTTAAGACTCCTGGATGCTGTAATGGAGTGTTCTCACCTCTTCCCACACTCGATCTCCCCTGATGTGTGTTATCTTATCCCCTGACAAGCGTTACATTTGCGTTTGCAGATTTTAAACCCCTTCTATGTGTTCCAAGCCTTCACCCTCACGCTGTGGCTGAGCCAGGGCTACGTTGAGTATTCGGTGGCCATCATAATCCTGTCGGTCATTTCTGTTGGCTTAACTGTGTACGACCTCAGGCAGGTGAGTCTGCCGGTGCCCCATCCTGCGCTCCGCTGGCAATTTCATCTGTCACAGACACAAGTAGCTATTCATATGCTCTCTCTGGTTATTTTTTATTGCTGTGTATCCCGCTGTATTCCTACAGATTTATTTCTATAGAGGAGTTAGAAGGGTCATACCTAGGTCTTGAACTTCCCAAGAATTAAAGAAGATTGAAGTCTGATACCTGGGGTTTGTAAGACTTTTTTGAAGGGGGACCATACCATGAGTCTGGCTGCTACTGTCATTTCAGGAAGATTCGCTCCTCTTAAGGTTTGCTAAATAACAGGTCTTAACAGCAAATAGAAACATGGCTTTTGTATTTCTCAAGTTTGTTCAACACTTCTGTCATAGATACAGCTGCTGGGAAGATTTTTTTTTTAATAGTCTCAGCTCATTCACTTTTTGACCTAAAGCACTCACCTGTGATAAACCTGAAACCTTCAGCCTCTATGGCAAAGGCAAATAATTTGAGCTGAGCCTCATGCGATGTTTGCCTGCCATTGAGTATCCTCATGCAGCCAGATGAGGTTACTCGTGTATCCTGCTGGAATTGCAAAAATCCTCTTGTTAGGAGTTTGGAAAACATGCCCTTGATTTCTGAACCCACTTTAAGATCTGGGGAAGGCAAAAATCACACAAAAAAAGGCTGAAATAGAGAAAAAAGAGAAACTTTGCGAATGAAAGCACAGACGGGAAAAAGTAATAGGCACAAGAGTCTGGCAGGCAACATTTTACTCTCTCAGGTTTGGATGTTAAGTTTTCACATTCCTCTGTATTGCTCAGATTTAAAAGTAAAAATTAACTGGGGATTCCTGAGTCCTGGTAAATGTTTTGTTAATCTTCAGGAAAAATATAAGGACTAGAGGACAGCGTTGAGAATTACAGTTCCTGCAGGCAGCGTGATGTGGTTAGAGGTGATGGCAGGGGTGAAGGAACAGCAGCTCTGGGGTGCACTGACCTGACTGTTGTGCTCACATGCTGCTTCAGCGCCAGGCACGGCTCACATCGCCTCCAAATTCACTGCTAAAATCATTGTTCCTGAACTGAGTTACTGGGGAAAGGCAAGGCTCAGCCCTTTTAAAGTTTACTTGAGAAGGTGGCATAGCAAACTGCCCTGTAAAGTGCTGTCCCAGAGGAGGCAATCATTTGCCCTTCCAGGAGCTGGCTTTCGTTTGAATCGACTCTGCTTTTCCCTGGGCTGGTAGAGGCACGCATCACGTTCCCTGCCTTTTCCCAGGCCCCCAGGCTCATGGGACTTGGGGCAGTGTGTGCTCAGTGATGTGCTGTGCTGATGAGCACAGCTCCTGCGCATCCTCTGCCCTGCCAAGGACACGCTTCTGGCGTTGCCTTGTTCCAGCCCTCACACTGATGTCAGTGAGGGCTTGTGAATAGCTGGGGCTTTCGCCAGCACAGGTGTGTTGTCTGCGCGTCACATTTTTGTATCTCTGACTAATATCTCTATTTGCACCTTTGAACTTAAAGTGTTGGTGTCTGTCCTGGAGTTGCTGAGCACAAAGAACAGATATGGTCCATCCAGCTTGGTTGGGCAAGGCTGGTTTTATTGTGTGACTGATAATTTTGGCAGGAAGAATTACAATGTTTGGGGCCTACAGATATTCTTCAGACTGGCTTGACACCTTCACATGAGCAACGCTAATGAAGAAATCCACACTTGGGGATTAGATTTTTGCAGCTGCAACTTTTAAATCAAGATAAGGCATTCTCGCTAATGGCCTTGCAATGACAGTTGACTTCATCATTATCTCAGGATATGTTATTGTCTGAATTAGTTTGCAAAAACTGGCAAAGCACAGTCACCCAGCTGAAGTAGAATTTCTGTTTTTCTTCTTGTAATGGCAGCTTTGTAATGATAGCCTTTACAACTTGGTTGTCCTGTTGATAGTCTCATAGCCAGGATAAAACTGCTGAGTACAAAGAAACCCTCTACTAGAGGGCAGCATATAGCAATGTTGCAGCTAAGGAGACTGACTTGAAGCAGGAATAGCACCTTGAAAGCTGAGGGAAATACAGCAGCATGAATGAGAAGCAAACAGAAAATTAGGTCTGTGTTTCCACAGCAGCTTGTTCTAGGTTAACTCAGTGAACTTTCATTCAGACTTCTAACAAGCGATGTGAAACCTCCCCTGGATAACGCAGCAGAGTTCAGTTTCTGTGATGTTAGCATCATCGCTGAGTTGTAACCTACTGCTTCACTTGAGTATTGGTGTTTCAACACTGTAATTGCTTTCCCATCAACAGCAGTCTACCAAGCTGCATGACCTTGTTGAGGAGCATAACAAAGTCCGGGTTACAGTCTGCACCAAGAACGAAGGTGACTCACCTGCATCTCATTTTCCTCACCAGCCTGTATAATTAACTAATGTGTTGAAATGTATCTGGAATTGCACAGCTCCTGTTGGTTTCTACTGCTGAAACGTGAAGGGCGAGCTGTGGGGAGAATGGGGCAGAGGGAGGTGAGGCGGGCAGGGCAGTGAGAAGTGTGGGCACAGCCTATGCGGAGCAGTAATGATGCATCCATATCATTAGCATCTGTATCTGCAGCATCTGTAATGATACAGGTGCACCTAGTAATTTGTGTTTAGAGCTGAGAACAGCTTGGAAAATTTAATTTCACAAACAAGCAGCTAGATAACAACTCTGGCCTTCCAAGACCTGCTTCCCTCCTCTGCTATAGGCTGCTTTCACAGCCTCATTAGGCAACTTGTGATTTTTCAACGAGTCTAGCTATATGGCTCCCACTGAGGCATGTGCTTTCTTTCCTGCATCTCAGTTCCTTGGCCATAAAATAGGGATTATAGCTATTTTTTGCCTACCAGAGATGTTGAGATGGGCAATTGCTAGGGTGATGGAGATGTAAAAGCCTGGGATAGGTTTTCTTGGTCAGAGTGTTTTATGGACACTATGCAAATGAAACTGAAGACACCCACTTGGGGAATGTTTAGACAAGAGAGGAGCTTTGTGCTGTTGCTTTTCAGCCAGTATTGTTTCTAAGAATTACTGGCCTTAAATTACGCAGTGTCGAAGTTTAGTGATGTTATGTGTGTCTTGAGACTTTTTGTTTAATTGCCCAGAACTTGTGTACAAGTAAAGTCAATTTTTGTATTGTTCTACAGGTTGCAAAGAGCTGGAGTCTCGTTACTTAGTTCCTGGAGACGCGTTTCTTTTAGGCGGAAAAAAGATCTCTCTCCCATGCGATGCTGTCCTGATTGATGGAAGCTGCATTGTGAATGAAGGGGTGCTCACAGGTGCAGCCTTGGAGTTTGAAATGCTAAGGCCCTGTGCAGGTTCTCTGTCAGGGAGATGTCTCTATCTGTTCTGACAGCAAATTGTTTACTATTTAGTAGAACAGTTTGCAGCAGGAGGTAGCAAAACTGTGGTTTGAATAATTCACAGTTGTCTTGGGCTTTTGAACGCTGCCACTGTATAATGTGTGTTTCTTATTCACATTTAAAACAACTAGGATTAATATACTGTCAGGAGTAGAAAGTGAAAATACTCAAATACACTGAATATGTATTTTTTGAGATTTTGGATTCTGGTCTTGTGGCAGTTCTGTTCAAGCAGGCAATGTAAGAGCACAGCGGGGATCAGTGCTATACCTAAACATCAAGCCACTACAAGGCATAACCTTAGTTCAGGGACAAAATTTGACCGAAGCTCCTCGATACAAGATGCTCAAAGAAACAATCTGATGTTCTCTGGAACTAAAACCATAATGGTTGTCACCATAAATCCACACGTACTTACTCAAGCGAGCTAATTAGTCAGGCAAGATTAAGGAACTACAGGGTGCTGTCGTTTTTTAATATGCAGAATCTGTTAGACTTTTAAATCCCCTTTAAGTGAAGCTGCATGCTGTTGTTCTTAGGTGAAAGCATTCCGGTTACTAAGACCCCCTTGCCCCTCACGGAGAGTGCAACGCCCTGGAAAACCCACAGCATGGAAGACTATCGGAGACACGTCCTCTTCTGTGGGACAGAAGTCATACAGACGAAGCCGATGGGCAGAGGGCCAGCAAGAGCTGTTGTGCTGCAAACCGGTATTTCTTTTCTCATTTGCTAAGCAGCTGAGGGAAAGTGGCAGCCCTGGAGGTTGGTAGGAGAGCTACTTTCTCTTTGTAGTTCAAGTCCAGCACAGGTCTGCTGTCTCTGAGAAGTGCTTCTTGCCACCCGATGGCCAAGGCTTGTGCAGTGTGACCTGTTTTCGAACAGCACTGACACGGTACGATGCCGCTGTGTCACATATGCATCATATGGCACACGTCTTCACGCAGGGTTCAATACAGCCAAAGGCGACCTGGTGAGATCCATCCTCTACCCCAAGCCAGTGAACTTCAAACTCTACAGAGATGCCTTCAAGTTCATCGTAGGCCTCTCTGCCATTGGTGTGTTGGGACTCATCTACGCTGTATGTGTGTTCATGTCCCACAAGGTAAGTACGAGGGATGCCTCCACGCTGCAGGCACCAGCTCTGACCCCTCAGTCAGGCAAGATCCTTGGAATATTGTTCACATCTGTAATTCAGTTTTCAGATACCAGAAATGGAGGGGGAGGTGAACAGAACAAAGTAGAATAAATCTGTCATCCGCAGGGGCAGAGCCTGGGTTGCACTGTTTCTGGGCAGGAGGGTCAGACTCCCCCAGTGCAGCAGTAGCAGTGGAGGGAGGCAGTTCCCACTCCACCACCCCTGTTGCTCTCGCTGTTTGCAGAAGCCAGTGGCAGACGTGGTGGCCATGTCCCTCCTCCTCCTCACCGTGGCTGTGCCTCCCGCTATCCCTGCTGCCTTGACAACAGGCACTGTTTATGCTCAAAGGAGGCTGAAGAAAAAGAAGATTTTCTGCATCAGCCCACAGAGGATTAATATCTGCGGGCAGATCAACCTTGCTTGCTTTGACAAAGTAAGGTGCTATATGGGACCCTGAAAGATGCTGGGAGCTGCTAGGAACGTGGAATTTGTATGGGTTGTTTTTTTTTCCACCCTGTCTGCCTGATCCAAACCCAGGGAAAAATCCTCAACAAGTGCCCATGCAGCAGGGTCACACTGTGGGCAGGAGGCTTTCCTTACCCTGCCTGGGAGCTGGGGAAGGACCGCTGGGGATGGGGCAAGGGGTGGGCAATAGCAGAGTAACTAGATATTTATTTCAATTTAGACAGGCACGCTGACAGAAGATGGACTGGACCTGTGGGGCATCGTTCCTTCCGAAGGAAGCCGGTAAGGAAGGGTTTTGTTTAGCGAGAACTAATCTCCTGTGTGAATGTACTGCCCGTATGTCTAGGTAGGAGGGAGGCAGTTGCATAGGATATGGAGAGGCAGCAAATAGCATGCAGCAAGAGCTATCTGGGAAGGCAGAGCACAGTGGGTGTCCCTGATCCCTACTAAGCTCCTTCCCTCCGAGAAGGGCATCTGGGTGCTGTTGTGGCAGGGGGGGGGATAAAAGACAGGCGTAGCCATAAAGGTCGCTGCTAATTCAAGTCAAACAGAAGCCAGCAGCAGCATGAGTGCTTTTAATGACTCTGAGGGGATTTGGAGAATATGCACAGAGCTTTTCAATTATGTCATTCGGAGCACAGTTCAATAAATATTCTTAATCTGGTCAATAAACCTTTCATCATTTAAATGTTAGGATACTGCTCCTTCTGCTGAAATTAAGTGTTGCCGACCTATCGAACCTCGCGTACCTTCTGTAAATGCTGTGAGAAATCTGTGAGACCACAGATCAGACCTGCAAAGCTCAGGCATCCTTAGGGACTCCCTCAAGCCCATAGCAGGCTCCATCTCAATTCCAAGCCCAAAGACCGCTGAAATCCTCAGGAAACAACCACTATGTAAACTTTAAACTTGACTGTACTCAACATTATACTATTTAACTCGTTTTACTATAATACAATAATGGACTTCAGCTCTGCAGCGCCTGTTATGATAAACTGGAAATATTAATCTTTTGCATTGGCCAGGACAATTCACACACCCCATATCAACTCCCAGGTTTCATTAGTACTTGTTAATATATCAGATACTTCAACACCACAGAGATAATCATGCTGTAATGAATGGAAGGATGAATTCATTGTGAGAGGAGAAAAATCACATTCCCAATACTTTCTCAAAGGACAGAGAGAAAATTACTATCTGATGCAAATTAATGAGAAGAGATTAATAAGTGTCAACCAATAAAATACTCTTCCAGTGGGACCAAACCGTAGGCACATAGCAAATCTCTTCTTGGCCCACCTCCAGCGCAGCAGGGAGGCCACACTGAGTCGGAGCACGTTGAACAGGCTTGGAGCCCACAAAAGGCAGAAAGCTCATGGTTGTGCCAGAGCGATTTCCACCAAGGAAGCCTTGCAAGTGGTGTCAGGTCACATGAGCAGCAGAACAAAACTGGGTCTGTATCTCAGAATACATTCATGTAATAAAAAAAGCCCCCAAACCTCTGCAAAGTATCAAAATGTAAGTGCCTTTGCAGACATGTCCAATGTGCAGCCAGCTGGGAGCCAGTGCTGGTGGCTTGCCAAAACGCAAGGAGGAGCTGTTGCTGTCTGCCTTGATCTCATTAGCCTATTTGCATAATCGCTCTTTCTTAAATTTCACATTTTTAAACATGTTGTAAGACTAGCTGTCAGCTAAGCTGAATACTGCGGGGCAATGACAGTAAAGGAATTTCATTAAACTTACAAAACATCCTATTGTACATTTAATAAGATATAAATGTTTATTGGTTTTATGTGGTGTTTAGCAGCTTCACAGTGTCTCTCAAGTATTAATTAATTAATAAGCCAATTATGACTAGGCTGAGAACAAGGTATAATTTGCTGGAAACAGAACAGACTTAGATGTCCCAGAGGGAAAACAGGTCCTGGATTCATTGTTCCTTTCAATAGAGCTGCGAGCTGTCACACTGCTCATTTCCAGATGCATTTCACTGTGCCTGTGTAAGTGACAGGGGATGCTAGTGGTGATCAAAGGTAAATAAAATCTATTTAAATTTCTCCCTAACATGCCAGCCTAAATGGTAATGGGCTGTGTTGTGGTCTGGCAAATCCAGCTTGTCAGCCAGCCAGTTTCTTAGAGGGGAAAAATGTGTGTGTGAGAAGAGAGGACTCCGAGAAATAACTTTCAGGATGAAATTATAGAGTCTTCAGCCAGCCCAGCTTCACAGGTGTTCAGTCTGTACTGCAGAGCCAAGGAGAGAATAAACCTCAAGGCTTTCTGCAGAAAGGAATTGGGGGCATGAATCTTTGACAGCATGCCTTAGTGTAACTCAATTGGAGTCAGCCAACATACCCATTATTAAAACCAAGGTGTGAAGGACAAGCATCTGATATCTGTGGCAATGCAGGTGTAAAATCTACAGCTGGGAGTGAAGGTCAGGCTCCTCAGGGCTCTCCCACATCACTCCCAAGGGTGCTGAGAGTGAGCTGCCAGTGCTTGTCCACCCTGCTGGGTTCACAGCAGCAGCCCGAGCAGATGCACCCCCTTTCCATGCTGCAGCTTCAGAAGTCTCCTAGAGCACATTGCCAGACTTCTTTGAGAGCCCTCTTGCAAGTTGTTTCCTCTCCCATAGTGTCTTCTCTGCTTTGTCTAGTACCAAAGAGCAATTGCCAAGCAGGACTTCTGTGCCAGCCCCTCTGAGTGTTTAAATGTCTCAGTTACTTCATATGAAGTTGAACTTCTGCCGATTAATTCTTGGGTCTCCTGAATGCACCTGACCTGTTACCAGAAGGGTGGGAAGAATGGCATGTTGCTTGCAGTTATTTGGGTCAGCTCCACTGAATGCAGCAGAACAGCAGCTGTATGCACTAGCTGACAACTTGTGTCCCTGCATCCCTCTTATAAGCACTGTCACTAACCTTCTGCTTCTAATCAGGTTTCAGAAAATCCATAAGTTCCCATCCAGCACTCCTCTGCCCTGGGGACCTGTGTGCGGTGCCATGGCGAGCTGTCATTCCCTGATTGTTTTGGATAAGAAGATTGAGGGAGATCCGCTGGACCTCAAAATGTTTGAGGCCACACACTGGGTAATGTGACGCACATCCTCTGCACACATCCAAAGCATGGAACCCTAACCAAGCCCATGGGGGTTTACCCACAAGTAAATCTCAAATATATGCCTGTAGTGGAAACTCCTTTGCAGTCCTTGTCATAACAGCTGTAATTTGCTCTGTTGTTTCTAAGAACCTCATGACAGATTTGCAGCACTATGGCTGTTTTTTTGATAGTCCAGCCATCGTTTTCCTTTGGGCTGCCTGCATTTGCTCTCCTAATCTGATTTTGAAACACTGGAGTGTAAGGAAGCAGAGGGGGAGCCTTGCTGCTGCTTGCTGGAAGCAGATGAGGAGACCACGCTGTTAGCTGCGTGGTGCAGAGAGTGCAAGGCAGCCAAGGAAAAGCACAGGCAGGTTGCTATGCCCTTATGCTAAAGGCTGTAATCTCTGATTAGCAAAGAGACATCCTCGTGGAGAAACCAAGGCTGGAGCCTCCAGCTGAGTGAACAGCAACTCTCAGAGAGACTTCAGGAGGAAATGGTGAGAGATTGAGCCTTGGGGCTGATCTATGGAGACTGAGAGTTGCTTTGGTAGAGAGGAGGCATGAGAAGGAAAGGGGCTGCTCTTCTCCCTGCTGTGTCCTAGCCTGGAGGGGCTCTGGGTCTCTGCAGTTATCCGCCTCGTCATCTTTTTTCCTTTGGCCTTTTGCTCAAGAGAGATTAATCAATAAGTGATTGATTAATCAGCAGCACTGTGGGAAGTCATCAGGCTGATGCTCGCTCCTGGAGAAGAGCAGGCAGCAGCAGAGCCACATGACATCAGAAGGGGACTGGGAGGGTGAATGAGTCTCGGCAGCACGTGAAATAACAGAGCTGGAGGGCTGAAAGCATCCTACAATGACAATTACCACCTTGTTTCTGGACAGAACACCACTGAGAGTCTTTTAAAAGCAGAAGACTGGAAGATAAAACCAGCTAGATAAGGATTATTAATTTTTTTCTCCCTTCATCATTGATATGGCATTAAATTTATGTGGAACTTGAGTTTAGAGAAATGCCAAAAATTCACACAGGTTTTTACTCTCAGAATCACAGAATCGCTCGGTTGGAAAAGACCTCTGAGATCATCACGTCCAACCATTCCTGTCTACCCCCTAAACCATATCCTTAAGTACCTCATCTACCCGCTCTTTAAACACATCCAGGGATGGTGACTCCACCACCTCCCTGGGCAGCCTGGTCCAGCTTCTGACGACCCTCTCAGTAAAGCACTTCCTCCTTATCTCTAACCTGAGCCTCCCTTGGCACAGCTTGGTGCCGTTTCCCCTTGTTCTATCCCCCATCACCTGGGAGAAGAGACCAGCACCCACCTCTCTACAAGCTCCCTTGAGGCAGTTGTAGGTGGTGATGAGGTCTCGCCTCAGCCTTCTCTTCTCCAGGCTAAACAAGCCCAGTTCCCTCAGCCGCTCCTCATAAGGCTTGTGTCAAGTCAAGAGACAAAGGCCACATAAGCTTCTGCTAAGGATAAGGCTACAGGGAAGCTGTCAGTGACTATGGGTAGGAAGACGTGTTAGATCATAACTTCTGCAACTGGGTGCCAGCAGTGAGGGGGAAACGCCCTTGTGCTGATGCCCTTGCTTTGACAGACAAGTGTGAAGCAAAAAAGTCTCAGAAATAACATTTTTCCTTGTACAGGAGATAGATGACTCCTGCACAGCTCAGGATGGGACTGGTGCCTTTGATACCTGCATCGTTAAACCAGGACCGAAGGCCAGCAGTGTAAGTCCAGTTCTTTCTGATAATTTATATCTGTGTTTTCAACCTGCAACTTGTGCAAACTCTTAGCACGTGCACTATTCATTCCATTTACCTGAGCTACAGGTTGCAAAATGTCTTTCATCTACTCTTGGTGCTGTGTTGCATCTTCTCCCGAAACACCCTGGAAGCATAGGACCAGAGAAACACATTCTGATTAAAGTGGAGATACTGCTCTGAAGTGGCATCTGAAGCACTTCATGTGCCTTAAAAGCCTCTAATTTGCAACTCCACTATTTGTGCTAATGAAAGATACAGACTTCTCTAAGTCCTCACCCTGTAAAGCTGCTGGCAAAATGAAACTGCGCAATCAGTTTAAGTGGAAACTAATGCAGAGAAACCGTATAAACAGCGTAAATGTCTGAAACTTGAGTTCTTCTGCAGGAGGAGGCAGTATGAGTAAGGCCAAGGCATTACATCGAGAAGCATGGACATGAGCCCATGAGTCCTGCTGGCAATGGTCATGCAACCCCACTAGCGGATTTATCAGCATCACCCCAAAGCACGGTGGTGTTTGCTTCTCTCTTCCTGTGAAAAGTACACTTGGGAAGCTCCAAGGTTTGAAAATGGTTGTATTTTCAGTCCAAATGTTGAACCAGCCAGCGTCCTCTCGGTGGAGGGAGTGTGATTTCTGCTAGCAACACTAGGACCACAGTGCTGTGGCAACAAAGAAATCAGTCTTGTTTCTAGGATTGCTCTGTTCCCATGGTAATGTCAGTGTAACACATCAAATTTCAGTTCCCATGACTGTAAGTGCAGGAATATTACACTAATATGTGATTATTAAGAGAAAGAATGGGATAAAGCCTGGAAAACCAGTTAAATAAAAAGAAAAACACTGAGGTTCCTGGGAAGGACACTGAGTTGTTGAGACTGTGGTTCCTAAACTTATAATCGGTGATCTGATACCATAGGCAGCAGGCAGCAGAAGTGAAATAATCTCCTATTAATAATAAATCGCCTTAGCAAGAAGGCGATTGCTTGAGCTGAAGTTCAGAATGGTTTTGCTTTGTGCAATCAGTAATTCAAATAACTTCTCACTTTCCTGACCTCTCCAGGCTCCCGTGGAAGGAATAGCAATCCTACATCAATTCCCATTTTCTTCTGGGCTGCAGAGGATGTCTGTTGTTGCACAGAAGATCGGAGATGAGCAGTGTGACCTGTACATGAAAGGAGCACCAGAAATAGTGTCCAGCTTTTGTCGACAAGAAACTGGTATGGAACTGGGAAAGGGCAACTTCACGACGTTTATTTGGACTTAATCCAAACCAGAGTTTATGTTGGGGCTCTAATCCTAAAAGCTTTTCAGCACTCACTCCTGCCACATTGCAATTGCATGCGTATGACTCTTCCCACGAGCAAGCCTTGGGCTTATTAAATGGCATTAGTTAATACTACAAACAAGATTTCATTGCTTGTTTCTAAGTTAAAGATGCACACAGCCCAGCAGCTAGTGAGATGCACTGCCTCAGGTTCAGCCCCTATACAGCCCTTATCTGACTTGCATCAGCTGAAGATGCAGCACATAAATAACGTTGATATGTCAAGATACCCAGAGCAGACGTAGGATCGTGGTAATTGCGTATGTCACAGCAAGTGTGTTGTGCTGTACAAGTTCTTAAATTTCCTGCTAATTTATTACTCAATTCAGCACTGAGTTACTGACCCAGTTTGCAAAGGCTTTCTATCTCAGTGATGGGAAACTTGCTGTGGCCATGCAAATTACTGTTATTAAGGGTAATTGGTATTAGCACTCAAGCCAAGACTTCTGTCCTCTCTCTGTGAGTAAATATAGGCTTTTCTTTTTTGTATGTGAACAATATTATGGGCTTATACTCAAATTTGTCCGCAAACTTTAAACTCGGGTCACATTCACCAAATACCTCAAAAGGATGCCAAGCAAACACAGTACCAACTGTGGCTCTGTGGTTTGTTATTTCAGATGGCACTGACCTGAAAACAGGTGAATATGGTTTTGAGGGACTTAGTTTAGAACCACCTAAGATTTAATGTCACAAACCTCTAAACAAGTCAACATCAGTCAGAAAAAATGTCTTCAAAATTATGTTGCACTTTCTCAGGTTTCTGAATAGCTCCTCTTTATCCTGTTTTGATAGTTTCTATATTGATTACAGCTTAATGAATAATTGGGTACTGCACTGTAAAGCTGTGATTGCAGTACACAGTGAGTACTGAAAAGTTAAAAGGAAGTCCTTGCTTTTAGAGTCACGGGAACAATCAGAGAATCGGAAATTTAGGATCTGGGAGGCATTCTCACAGTAAGGCATAAACAAAAACAGTTTCCTCAGTCACTCAGCATGTATGCAGTAAAGCTCAGGACAGAATTATGAAGTCAGACATTTGATCTCTATCCAGTAATTAATTTTATTTACTTGCACTTTAACATGCATTTTAAAAGGTTAAAACAGATGCACAGATCACTTACTTGAACAGTCAGTTACAGAGCCTTGATAAAAAAGAGCTGGCTTCTATGAGAGGCCACAGTGCTGTAACTGAGGACATAAAGTGGTGTAAAGCTCAGGCATTTAACCCTAGAAAAGCAATCGGCAAGGGTGGAATACTCTAACTATGAAACTTTTTCTCCTGTAAACAGTCCCAGCTAATTTCTTAAAGGAGCTTAAGACGTACACAAGCCAAGGCTTCAGAGTCATTGCCCTGGCCCATAAAGTGCTAAACCTAGGAAAGGATGTGGACATGAGCAACCTAGAGAGGTAAGGTGTGCCGATGAGCCACTGGTATCACTGTGGGGTTGCTTTCCTATCTACTTACAACCTGCCCTGACCCAAACCTTCTCCTCCTCTACTGCCAAAGGGAGCCTCTTGGGAAGCTGTACCATGTAACACCTCCCTCTCAGCAGCTGCTGATTACACCGTTAACTGCCTGCTTTACTACTGCTCTTGCAAGGCTCACTGAGCTGAATTTCAGAACCTGTTATCAAAGAGAAGTGAAAGCTGGTCATTGTGCTTCTGTATGGCAATGAATTGAGGCTGCAATAGGATTTCTGTATGCCATAATCTGTGGGTTTCAGCCAGCCAGTTCCTGCAAATCTCTGTCCCTCTCTCTGCACGCACATCTCTGCTGCATTGCTCCTTCCTAGAAAAAGCAATGCAGCAGAGCAGCAGCTTGGCTGAACCTGCAGAGATGTTGGCGGTTGTTGAGCACTGCTTGTCTTGAAGTCATAGCAGTTGTGTTTCCCTGTAGAGCAAGCGTGTTTCCCACTAAGCACAGCTTTCCTGTTGAACAAAACCAGCAGGGAAAGTCTAGCTCCCTGTGCTGTCCCTGGGAAACAGCACGTGTGTTTCTGTCCTTGCTCCAAGAGAGGAGGCAGAGTCTGGGCTGACGTTCCTGGGCCTTCTGGTGATGGAAAACTGCCTGAAGCAAGAGACAAAGCTTGTGCTACAAGAGCTGGCTGCTGCCCGCATCAGGAGCGTCATGGTCACAGGTAAATCCCCCCCGGCTGCTCCTGTGGCTGTGCTGGTGCACACAGGAGAGAGATTCGCTCCTCCAGCATCCTTCATTGCACGCCTGTGGTCTCTACATGGGCTGCTGCCGTGCTATGGCAGATGTGAGGAGCCTGCCTCTCTGCTATCCTTGCAGGGGACAACCTGCAGACAGCTGTCACAGTGGCCAGGAACGCGGGTATGATTCACACAGGCAGCAAAGTCATCCTCGTCGAAGCCAGTGAACCACAGGGCTCTGCTCCAGCTTCCATTGCCTGGCGATTGGCAGAAGACAGCAAAGCAAACACAGCTGTTCCCCATGTAAGCAGAGCCAGGGATGGTTGCTTTCAGTTGCCAGGGGGAATTAATAAAGCTTTTAATGTCTAATTAATGTCTAATGTCTGGGCACCTTAGGCCTGGGTTCCTTGCTAAGGGCTAGTTCATATCTACCTGAGGGCTAGTTCATATCTACCCCAGGGTACATGGAGGTGTGGTCTGGACCATACACCTGTTAAGGAGAAATAATTAATACAGCGTCTCTTTGCTCAGAGCAACATGCAAAATAATTACACGAATAACTGGCAAGGTTTTGCAGATGCAGTGGCCACTACATTTACGCTTGAAGTGTGCAGAGTTAACGCCATTATACATAGTGGTCTGTGTGACAATTTGCTGGACAGAACTTTGGTGTCTGAACTAGCAGCCTGTGGCTAACTGGGATTAGTGATGTGTGGAAACACAGCTAGAAATCCGAGTACTGCCAGGCATAAAGTTTTGCAAAAGGATGCTGCAGAAGGCTGTGTCCCTGGTTGCCTGGTGGGAGGCTGACAAGGTGGAAGTGAAATGGCATGTTACGACCTCCATCTGAGAATAAATGCTGTCTTGTTTCCTAGGAGGTGTGTGCTAATACTGAGGAAAAGATCACCTTGGAAGGAGAAACCTGCAACTACCATTTCGCAATGAATGGAAAGTCCTATCAGGTTGTCATAAAGCACTTCTATAGCTTGCTGCCAAAAGTAAGTTCAGGGGAAACAAAGCACTTACTTGCCCTCCCTGTTTTATTAAGTGGCAGTGGTGTTCTGGCTGGTGAAAGGTGTTTTTCTGTCGGTAGCTGTACTGCCGTCACTTCACATTTTGACAGCTCCGGGCAGCCTCCCACCAATCCTCAGGCTTAACCCAAACAGCTTGCTTGCTGTGTCTTTTAAGACCTCCAATGACAGGGGTGGCTGTGGTGCTGCGAGCAGCTGTGCAGTGGAGTTACTCCACAGTCACCTTCTCCATTTCAGTTTAATTAAAAACGTCAACCCCATTCCTATGTGCCACTGCCACAGCTGTCAGTGGCCTCTGCTCAGCAGGGGCATCAGGAACACAAAATACCCACATCTAGCAGCAGAAATCTTCAACTGCTGTCACCCTGTCCATAAAAAAGCTGGTGCTGGGACAGATTTTTTGATTTTTATACTCTTCGGCCAGATTTTCAGGTAGGAGAAGCCTCAGGCTGAGCAGTGTTATTGCTGCTGTCATCAGCCATCTGTTCTGCACCTGGGAAACACTCACAACGCCTTGCTGCTCTGAAGGCTGCCGCAGAGCACATGGTGATCGCTGGCTTCCCAGCATCTCCTACAGAGTCAGCAAGGCAGAAAACAGCAGGATAAATCCAATGTTAGAGGAAACCTGAACCCTAAGGGCAGCAAAACCATAGTGGAGTTTGGGAGATGGGATTAGAATGTTTTACAAGTGTTAGGCACCCATCAGGGAGGTCTGATCCTGCCTTGGTGGAGCGATGGAGGCACAAATGCCTGCCCAAGGCAGCCTGTTGCTCTTTCTTGCAGATACTGGTGAATGCGACTGTCTTTGCTAGGATGTCTCCTGGCCAGAAGTCCAGCCTCATTGAAGAGTTTCAGAAACTCAAGTAAGGTTCTTTTTTGTTTTGTTTCTGAACCAGACCAGGAATATGTTTTCTTTGAAGTGTGATAGTCCCAGCTAGCACTGCTCCAAGCCCATCTTTTCGATCACCCCTTCCTCCACATGCAGCCCCTGTTTGCATCCTTTGTGGCCGCCTTCCACTCAGTTCTCCTACAGGGATCCCTCTGCATCAGGAGTGCCTGCACCCCTCACCCAGACTTAGGCGCCTCTTCTCTCCAGTGCAGTACAGAAGGCAGCATTAAAGGAGGTTGAGATGAAAATACAGGGCCAGAGCCCCACATATTCAAATAGCCCTCCTCCTCCCCAGCAACTCCTGCACAGCTGCTGGTGCTGTCCTGGCTGTAGCTTTAGCAAAGCTGAAAACAACCTGATGAAGTTGGGAGTCTGACACCAAAGGCGCTCCTGCAGGGCTCCCAAAGGAGTGTTTCCTCCTGCAAACAGGACTTACACTAACTAAAGCCAGCACTGTGCTCTTGCAGCCAAGAAGGCCAAGGGCATCCTGGGGTGTATGAGAAGGGGTGGTTGTAGGGCAGAGAAGTTCTCCTGCCCCTCTGCTCTGCCCTGCTCAGAACACATCTGGAATAGTGTGTTCAGTTCTGGGCCCTCAGTTCAAGAAGGAGAGGGAATTGCTTGAAAGAGTCCAGCAGAGCCGCAGAGATGATGGAGGGAGTGGAGCATCTCCCTTATGAGGAGCGGCTGAGGGAGCTGAGGCTCTTTAGCTTGGAGCAGAGGAGACTGAGGGGCGCCCTCATTCCTGGGGATCCATTGGGAAAGGGCGAGTGTCAGGAGGAAGGAGCCAGGCTCTGCTCTGGGATGTCCAATGCCAGGACAAGGGGCAATGGTCCCAAGCTGGAGCATAGGAGGTTCAGCCTGAACATGAGGACAAACTTTGTCAGTGTGAGGGTGCCAGAGCATGGCCCAGGCTGCCCAGAGAGGTTGTGGAGTCTCCTTCTCTGCAGACATTCAAAACCCGCCTGGCCGTGTTCCTGTGTGACTGCTCTGGTGATCCTGCTCTGGCAGGGGTTGGACTGGGGGAGCTTTCGAGGTCCCTTCCAACTCCTAACATTCTGTGATTCTGTGAAAGATAGTGCTCGCTAAGCATAAACAAGATGTGATACCTTTCTGTAAAAGAAAGTTATTGGTTATGAGGTGCCTCCTCTGGGGATGAAGGTCCCTGTCCTCTCAGAGGGACCTGATGTGTGGTGGTTTGGGTGCTGCTGTATTATTTCAGGAATTCCTGTGTCTTTGGGTCTACAAAGACAAAGTCAAGTAGAAAATGCTGGTAAAAGCCAAGCTGCAGCCACAGGAGCTGCTGTAAACATGCACACCCTGCTCTCTTTCCATGGCCCCTGGTACCAAGGGGAAAACACTGTCTGGAATAAAGTGGCAGCGTTCCCTTCCCCATTATAGCCTCTTTCAAAACTTAATCCTCATTTTGCCCTGTGCACTCTGCCCCGTCTCCCCATACACAACTTGTCCTCTGGAAGCAGCCGCTGCCCTCTTCAGGGCCAACATAAAATGTACCCGCAAGTGCTAAGCCAACAGGCCCTCCACCACGGGATCTAACAGCAACGTGCAAGGTTTATGTGTTTTCCTTCTTCTTTCTCCAACAGTTACTACGTGGGTATGTGTGGTGACGGCGCCAACGACTGCGGGGTACGTAGGAGCTCATCTCCCATTCTTGTTAAATTGCATCTCTTTCAACCTGAGGAGTGCTGTGACCAGAGGCTGCCCAGCACCACTTGTCACTGGCATTTCCCAAGTGAGGGCCTGGGTACGCGCAGTCAGCGTGTCACTGTGAAATACTATCTACATGCTTTTTAAAAAATGCCAACATACACGTTAATAGAGGATTACTGTTCTCATTTCCCCTCAGAAATAGGGGCAAGGGACTTCTTCTTACACATCTGTTCAAATTTTATAATTGCAAATTTGAGAGTCTTGGCCATAAAAACAGTTATTCTATTATCTAGTATATTATTATAATAAATGTCACCATAGTATGATTTTATAATAGTGCATTAGCTTGCTTTGTAGAAGCTGTCCATAGCCTACACCTGAGCACTAAACCAGAGGTGACAAGGCCAGGTGACAAGGAGCTCATAAGGCAGCAATAAAAGAAATGTGAACAGGAGATTGAAAGGAACAGGAGGAGGATAAAAATGGTAATTTAAATACTTTAGGAGACTCTTTAGCAGGAGAGGTATGCACAAACTCCAGTGTGGGAAACAGCATACAGGGTAGTTCAAAGGATTGTATAATGGGTATAATGGGATTAAATGAACAAAAGAAATATGTCAGCTCCAGGGAAGGGAAGATATCTGGAAAATGTGATCAGCTGGGCCACAGAACAGAGGAGGATAAATTACAAAGGGCACTTGAAGCAAAACTTGTAAAGCACCAGTAAACATGCTGCACGGGGTGGGACGGGTGGATGGATGTCCCTCCATCTTCTTACTCCTGTGGATTTCAGGCTCTGAAAGTGGCCCATGCAGGAATATCGCTGTCAGAGCAGGAGGCATCCGTGGCCTCGCCTTTCACCTCCCAAATCCCCAATATCCAGTGTGTGCCGGAGCTGATCAGGTGAGTTTGCCGGGTGCTGCCCCAGAGCAGTCTCGGGGTGCTGCCGCCTGCTCTGAGCTCAGCGTGTGGGGTTGTGAGTGGGCGTGCGCTACCCTCAAAAATGCTTAAAAACCAAACCTAATTCCTCAGTAACTATATAAAATACAGCAGAAGGGTTTTTGAATTGGTTTTGATCCTCAGATTCCAGTGCTGGGAGGTTTATTTGTGGTTTTGGGAGAGCATTGCCCATGGTGGCTGGAACAGGTACAGCAGGACAGTCACATGAAATGGCAGCTATAAGAGTGACCACAGAATAGATTTGCTTGTCCTTACTTTAAAATATTGATACCCATATGCAGCCCACCATCATGGAACAGCCCGTGATAATGCCATTTAATGAAATGTATGCAAAAACAGCTACATGTTTGTCTAGAAATGCGTTTAATTCCCGAAACTGTTGAGCTAATTAGTAATGAAGAAGCTGAATCCAAGGATTAAAATTGTGGCTGCAGAATTAAAACAAGGAAACAAGACACTGCAGGTGAAGGCTAGTTAAGTGGCTCTGCAGTATTTTAAAGCCACAATATTTGTCTACGGAATTTGAACTTCTTTCTATTCTTCTTAGAGATCCTAAACAAAAGGAGTTACCCTACCTAGAAGCAGAAACCATCTGTAGCATGAAAACCCACAATGCCGTAACTGTGAGTGGAGATTTTAGCTTTGTTTTGTGTTTTGAGCAGGGAAGGTCGAGCTGCTTTGGTTGCTTCCTTTGCTGTGGTTAAATACCTGACCCTTTACGGCCTGATTCAGTTTGTTGGTACCGCTCTGCTGTATTGGGTAAGTGTTTCATGCCCATCTTTTTTCAGTACGCTGTGCTCACCGTAGGTTTTTATCTTTAGCGGTGTTACTCAGCAGGGAAGAAAAGGCATACAGGGCCTCAAGGAATAACAAAGATGTGAAAAGGTGGACAATTAACGTCAGGGTAGATTGTAGGGCCCCCAGAATCAGGGAAAAAACCCAGTGATGAAACTTCATCTCTTCCAAAAGAAGAAGGGGAAATAGAAGAGGGGTGAGTCCTGCCTAGCTGGGTGGTAGAGGCTGAGGATCAGGACTTGCTGTAAAGAAAAACAGCGAAGGAAATTCTTGTATGGATTTACTCTGGGCCACTTCTGCTGCACATCTTCTGTGCGCAGTCACACAGGGGGTAAAGGGCAGAAAGCGAAGTGAGCTGTTGTGAATCTGCGAGGCACAGCCCTTGGTGGCACACAGGGAGCACTGGTGGGTCACCACACAGGGACAGCTTCCCCAGCCACTAGTTTGGACACACCGGCTTTGTCCACATCACCGCTACCCAAAGACATTTCAAACCTGGCACAAAGTGAAACTCTGGCTGTCATTGCTATTACTATGAACGGGGAGAGCGTGAGCTGATCTGAGTGGTACCAGGGACATTGATGTCTGCCAGGAGAAGGGGAAAGAACAGGCAAACGTTGGGTCACCTACAAGTCCTATGAATTAGCAAGGGGTTCAGTGGGACCTGGCTGATAGCTGGCAAGCAGGGCTTGCTAGTCCTTATGGGATTGCCTGAAATAGCATCAGATGCTACAGTTTGTATCATCAAAGTTGTCACTGGTTCTCAGGTGGTGCTGCCTTTGTTTGTGTTTCAGCAACTGCAAATCTTTGGGAATCGCCAGTATTTGATACAAGACGTTGTCATTACCCTTCTGGTTTGCCTAACAAGTAAGCAGCTTGGGGAAGCCAGCTAAGTCTGCGTGCTTGAGTATAAATAGCTGACTAAATTTTCCAATAAAAATTAAAACAAGGAGACAAGTTCTGCTGTTGGTAACATCATAACCACTGATGCTAGAGCGATTCCTAGGGCCCAGAGTGTAGGATTTACCTCACAGTCCTTTGCAAACACAGCTGCAGAACTCTGTACATAACAGATAGAGTTTGGATGTGAGACTCAGCTGGAAGAGGAGCAGTTGCTCTGGTGGTTGGTAGTGGGGCTCAGACACCGTAACCCCAGCTCCTGGTCTCCTGTGTGTTCCTGGTGTGAGACCCAGTGCAGCTCTTAGACCCCATGGGAGATCCTTGCCTGCAAGTGAGGATGATATTCCCCATCTCCTCTCTGTGTTCTCCTGAGGGGGGATTCAGAGGAGGCTGAGGTGGAAAACAGCAGAGATCAGAGCCTTTTGTTGCCTGCTTATTAGGGCCAGGCTTTGCAGCTTTCCCTTAGATGCGTGGATGGGGGGTGTCTGTGTGCAGGTCTGCTTGCCCAGCAAACTCGGAGAGATGCTGGTGGGCTGGGCTGCCATGGGCTGCAGATGTCTCTGGTTTCTCTCCAGTGAGCCTGACTGAAGCCTATCCAAAGCTGGGACCTTATCGTCCTCCTGGCCAGCTCATCTCTCCTCCACTGCTGCTTTCCATCATCCTCAACGTGTGCTTTACCATAATCATGCAAACCTGTGGCTTCCTTCTGGTGAAGCAGCAGCCCTGGTATGTAGCGCTGGCCAGCCAGAGGTACGTCCTGCTTTTTGTCTCTGATCTCCAGCTCGCACAACGTGTCACTGCTGTGTGTGGGAGACACCGCAGCCTCACCATGGGCTGCAGCCGGGCACACTGAGGGAACAAGTGGGATGATTTCCACCCCCCAGCTGTGTATGCACTCAGCAGAGCACTGCCAAGACAGAATTATGTTGCTGCAGATGCCACACTGCAATCTAAAGGGCCAGTCCGAGGGCTAACACATACATTTTTCGAATGCCTCCTCTGAAACGTGGAGGACGCTGCCCATCTGGAAATGAAGGAGAAGTGGGGATGCGTAGGCCATGGGGCTGTGCTATGCTGTGGCACTACTGGATAGCGGCTGGGGCTGAGCAGCCTTCCTCTGCTCCTCTTTGCACCCTCTCCTGGGGTCTGGCTACACAGCTCTTCCAAGAAGTAAACAGCCCTGAGGCCAGGATTTTCTGGAAGCCAAGTTGGTTTAAAAAATGGTTGCAAAGTCAGAAGCCAGCTTGTTTCTGTGTTTAAGAAAGGTAAAAACTCTCTCTCCGTATTCCAGAGCCAAATAATATCCTGTATTATATACACATATAACATTTCTATTGTAATAGATGTATTAATGACCAGCATATCATCACACAGAAATGAACCGGTAGAGAAGGAGGCCCAGTGAGGCCTTTCAGTGGGGATGCTCTGCTTGCCAGGGCTCAGCCAGGGCCATTTCTCTGCAGCTGCACGGATGTGTCCAGGGCAAGTGTGCCAGAGTGGCGTGCAGGCACCTGGGGCGCACAGCTTCATAGCCACATCTCTCAAACACTGCTGTCGCTGCTCACCTGAGAGACAAGATTTTGGCGCACATCAGAAAACTAAGATGATTTTTGGGTTTTGTTTGTTTGGTGTTCTTGTTTTAACGGATGCTTTTCACTTCTGTGGGCGATACCTGGTTATTATAGGAAGCTGGGTTGGAAAAAAGAGCAAATTGCTGTTTGATGCTCACTGATGCTGGAGAGAGTGGGAATAAAATGCTGTTGTGACCTTACAGACACTGCTCTCCAGGGAACCAGACCACGTTCCCCACCAGCCCAGGGGAAAATGGTACCATGAGCAGTGCTCAGAGCAGCGTCCTCAGTTACGAAGACACAACGCTGTGGCCACTGTCCTCTGTCAACTGCATCATTGTGGCCTTCGTCTTTTCCAAGGGAAAACCCTTCCGGAAGCCCATCTACACCAACTGTGAGTAGAGCTGGAGTAACATGTACTCTGCAGACTCCTGCTGCAAAGTAACCCTGGCAGGAGAGGCTGCTAGGGAAGGGATGCTGTGGATTTTTCTGTACCTGCACCAGTGACTGGAATGTAGTTGGTGTCTGTGAGCTCCTACTTCTCCATTACAAAAAAGCTCAGAGAGCAGTCCTTATGTTAGCTTCTTCCTTTGAGATAAGAAGCAGCAGAGCTGAGAAAGACTGCGTCTTGTTTTGGAAATTGTGTGCTTTCAGAAGACGATGGGCTGCATTTAGTGCAGAACTGTGTATTACTGTGAACAGAGAGCACATGAGGATCAGATGTATTTGTTTTGAAATACACACATCACAGAATCACAGAATCGCTCGGTTGGAAAAGCCCTCTGAGATCATCACGTCCAACCGTTCCTGTCTACCCACTAAACCATATCCTTAAGTACCTCATCTACCCGCTCTTTAAACACATCCAGGGATGGTGACTCCACCACCTCCCTGGGCAGCCTGTGCCAGCTTCTGACGACCCTCAGTTCTCAGTAAAGAACTTCCTCCTTATCTCTAACCTGAACCTCCCTTGGCACAGCTTGGTGCCGTTTCCCCTTGTTCTATCCCCCATCACCTGGGAGAGGAGACCAGCACCCACCTCTCTACAACCTCCCTTGAGGCAGTTGTAGGTGGTGATGAGGTCTCCCCTCAGCCTTCTCTTCTCCAGGCTAAACAAGCCCAGTTCCCTCAGCCGCTCCTCATCAGGCTTGTTCTCCAGAGCCCTCACCATCCTTGTGGCTCTTAAAGGCATCAAAAGGAGTTCCTCTGAGATTTGGTCTTACCTTTCCTGACTTCCATACCTAAAGATGAGAGAGAAAAGCCTGTGATAATATCACTGTTAAAATCCTCTCACAATAGCCTTTCCTTTTTTGTCTGAGTTTTGCAGAGGTGCTTTAGCCCTTCTAGCCATCGGTTGACTGGCAGCTCCCTTGCAATTGCAGCTCACGGATGAGAGGGCAGGACTCAGCTTAATCTCAGCAGAGTTGAGTTTGTTAGGTGCTTTGTTAAAGGGCAGGTCCCAAACCCATTTCACAGAGCGCTGATCACCTGCAGAAGGCAGCTGAGGCCAGAAAGAAGCTGCCCCGCAAGCAAGGACTCTGTCAGCTGAGAAATCTGCGTACGCTTCCCTGGGTTTTGTCTCCGCCTGGGGACAGTCCCTAGGAGGATGCAAAGGGCAAACACTTTGTTTTGGCCACCCACTCAGCCCTGTCCTCCCTAGCAGTGAGAAGGCTGCCAGGAGGCCGCTGAGAGCTGTTGACCCTCCTTCCCAACTGATGAGAACAAGCAGCCTCCTCTGCTGCATGCAGGCATGTGACTGAGCACATGGAGGAGCAAGGGGAAGGGATGCTGGTGTGGCTCACAGAAGTGCCCTTCTGGGGCAGTTTTCTGTGGCTGTATAAGAATCAGAATGTGCCAAATCACTTGTGCAATAAAAACCAGTGTGGGTGGTGAGATTTGCAGCAGGCTGTTGGGAAGCAGCTCCTCTAGTTTCACAGAATCACAGAATCCCAGACCG